CTTCATCATCATCTGAACCCTCAAGGAATTGTTTCTGAAGGGTAGCAGCGTACTCCGCTAGTGAGCTCGGTATGAAGTACTGAGGAGGATTGAATACCTCGGTCTCAGGTCCATGACCGAGCTGCACCACGGCCCGCGCCAACCGCACTTAAAAAAGAGATCCTTCGCAGCCTCACACTGTTGGATGTAGAGGGCTTCGCCTTCCTTAAAATCCCCGGAGTTCGGCACCCTTCACACTTTCCTTCAGTTTGGTGATCTCGGTGTCCTTCTTCTTCTCAACCTGACGCAAATACTTGTCTTTTAACTCGATTGCAGCCTTTTGTTTTTCAGCTTCAACCAAGCTAACAAGACCGGTCAGGCGATTGTTCTCGATTTTTAGCTCGGCTATCTCCTTCCTGGCCTCTTCCAGCTCGACGTTTTTTCTCGGTTACTTCGGCCATGGCTTGCCTTGCGGTTTTTTGAAGCTCCAACACACGCTCGTGAGCAATGTGACCCTTCTGCATGGCCTGCGAAGGAATGGGAAGACTTGTAATCAAATCGAGAAAAAAGTTGGGCAAATTAGAAAAATCAGCAAAGGAAGCTACTTACAAGCACCATGGATTTTGTGGCCGAACGGATGGCCTTTAGCTCGGTCAAATTTTTATGATACTCCATGTCTGCTGGTAGGCAAACACTCTTAGCAAGATTGAATGCCATTAAATGATCTTTTTCAATGACCACTAAGTCAATGTCCTGAATAGCTCGGTTCTGAAAAGTGATTTTGGGTACTCACTTGGAGGAGCTAGCCCGGTCGGACTGCTCCGGTCGCGAGCTCGGTAGAGGGCTTGGTAGAAGAAGGGTTTCGTCTTCATCAATTAGGCGTTGCTTGGTTTGGGTAGTCTGGGCACGCTTGCTTGGGCGAGATGAGGAAGGCTGTTGAGATGGAAGGGCCACCACGGTCTCCTGAGCCTAGTTGGACGGTGGTACCTCGGCTCGGTTGGTTTCGGTAAGAAGGGCCCTTACTCTGTTCCTCTTTGCCATCTCTTCTTTGGCAGTAGTTCGGACCAAGTTGATCTCAAGCAAGGATGGATCCAGTTCTGGAGAGGCTTCCAGCAAGAAATCGGTTACTCTAGCTTTTCGTCGACTGCTGTATCTGTACGTCGGTTTAAAATTTAGCAGCTTGGCCCAACTTCTTTCAGGATACCGTAGTACGGCGCGAAGTGTGTTTAGGTTGGGGTAATTGTACAGTGACTTGAGGTGGGCTGAATCTGCATAAAGAAGATAACGGTCAGTTCGGTTCAGGAACAAGAAACCGAAATAAAGGGAGGCATGCAAAGAAGCCGAGGTAGTTATACTGGGGGTTCCTTTTTTCCAGTTTATATTACGGCCTGGGATCTGGGCTTGGTGGTCTTCAAAATTCCCAGATACCTAGAAAAAATCGTCATTATTCAAGTCTTTGTCCGGTGTGTCCTTTATTATTTTCTCTCGACAGCGGCGTATTCTTAGATAATAGACCCAGCCATCTTCTTTTGATCCTAGGGAATATTGATGGAAGAGTTCGGCTAAGCCGAGGTTAATGCCAGCTCGGCGGTTTAGTTCGGCTATACCATTTATTATGCGGTATGAATTTGTGGAAAGTTGAGTGGGGCATATCCTAGTTTGCCTAAGGAATTCACAAAGTAAAGGCTGTACAGGGAATCTTAGTCTGGTTTCTATAATGGACAGGAGGGTAAAAGGTACAAAACCTTGGTTTCCCCATGGTATGATATTTTGTTTGGCTAAGGTGAGATGGGCATCGTCAGGAATGTTATACTCCCTTCGGAATTCGGCCAAGCCACCAAGTGTGTCTACTAGAAACCTATATTTACCCATTCTTTATTAAGTTATGAATAAATTAAACTGGTGTTAGCTCGGTCGGAAAAAGGCGTTGAATAGCTCGGTTAAGCGCTCAAAGGAGGGCCTGGGCAACCTAAAGTATGCAAAGTGAAAAGAAAAGTGTTAAGCACAGATCATGGGACCGTGCCAAAAGAAATAAAGGCAAGATAAATATAGTCTTAGCTCGGTTTGTAGAAGGGATTTGGTATCTCGGTTTGTAGAAGGGATTTGGTATCTCGGTTTGTGCAAGGGGTTTGTTATCTCCGTTTGTGCATGGGTTTTGTTAGTCCAGTTGAGCTTCTAGGGGCAGCGCTCTTAGTTCGGTCTGAGCTACGAAGGTTGGTCTAGTCCCAGGTTATAGCTCGGCCATGGTCGAGACTATCAAGCACGCTATTACGCAGACTTAGTACGGTTTGTTAGCTCGGCAAAATTAAATCAAAAGATGTTTTAATTGTTGAAACTACTGGTACGGTGTTAGTTCGGTTGGTAAGGCTGGCTAAAGTGACATCAACTACAAACAGCTTTTTAAGTTCGGTTATACTGTGATTTTGGATCAAAATCAATGTTTTTCAGTTTATTCATGGAAAATTGGAGGTTCTATTACATGGCTCTTCAACGAAAGAAAGGTATGTGTTTTGAAAAAAAACACAAAATACATGTATTATAAAAGCAAAATGCGAAAAACAACAAAAACAAGGCAGATTTGAGTAAACTTACTAGGTCAAGAGGAAGAAATCGAAGATGGAGGCAACGGCAGTGAAGAACACGACCTCAGCAAAGTTCAGGGTCGAGAAAAAATAGAAACCCAGAGTGAGAGAATGAAGGAAATGAATAGTAGGTTGATAGATTCAAAATGAAGAGTGTGTTTTGTGTAGAAGGAAGGACAAAAAAAGAGCGGGATTGTTCAAAAAGCACGGAGTACGAAGACGGCGTGACAGCTGCATTGGGCCAATCAGAATGGGCCACGTGTCATGGGAATGGAAAACGATTCAGTAGCTGTAATTGAAGAGACGTTATGACCAGACAGGTAGAGCCCAGTGTAAATTTAGTTCGGATGGAAAGGCTCAAGTGTTTAGCTTGGTTGTGCGACTATAGTTTTGTAGCTCGGTTGGAAGGCTGAAACTTTTTTAGCTTGGCTGGTAACAGGTAATCCCTATCATGCTGTGCAGATGGAATTAAGGGGCAATTGAGAGGGTAATTTATATGAAAGTTGGGCCGAGCTGGACAATGGGCCGTTATGGGCCACAGTACAAAGGGCTGAGTAAAAAAGGCCATAAAGTTACTCCGGTCCAAAAGAGGCTTGAAGTTACTCCGGTCCAAAAAAGGCTTGAAGTTACTCCGGTCCCAAAGGGCTTACGGTAAGCTCGGTCGTCACACATGAAGTTATCCCGGTCGAGACCACGGTGTTGGTTATCCCGGTCGAGACATACCATGGTTAGTACCAGGAGAAACCGGGGTAAGAGCAGTGAATGGAAGAGCCGAGCTGAGGTTAGCTCGGTCTAGTCTGCGGCTTAGCATAGCCATACTTACTTTGGTCATATTGGAGTCCGACCATGGTAAAACCATCTCACTTGGTTTAAGCAGTGAGGGGGGTGTTGAAAGATAAGCATTATCTTTCGGGAGTATGACTCCTAGGAGGACTCTACATGGAGGAGTAAGAGTCCTATTAGGATTATGCAACGCGGAACCTATAAAAACTCACATCACCACCTATGGAGAGGTAACACAACTTTGATTCTCGAATACACAGAGCTTTTGTCTATTTGTCTGCTTTATTGACTTAGGCATCGGAGAGGTATCCGGTACACACCCGTCGGCTAGCTCACGTTTGTATTTTCAGGGGATAAAGCGACGCCGTACGGAGGAGCGCAGACTTGATTAACAGGAGGATTACACAGGAAAAATATTTCGTGCCCGTACACTATTGTTTAATTTTAAGGACAAAGTCTTCAATTTTATAAAATATAAACTAATCTGACAAAAATAAATGCCAAAAAAATATTTTTATTTTTAAAAAATTATTTTTATCCACTAATGATAAAGTTATGTAAAATTGATAAAAATTAATAAAAATTACATGATTAATTTTTAAAAATTAATTTTACATGATTATCATTCAAACACATAATAAAAATTAATTTGGTAAAAAAAAATGTCTAAAAGATTTATCAATTTTACATAATTTTATTTTTAGTGACTAGAAATAATTTTTAAAAATTCAAAAATATTTGTTTGACATTTATTTTTGTCAAATTAGTTTATATTTTATCAAATTGACGATTTTACTCTTGAAAAATCTAATGATATCTTCAATATGACTTATTCTAATCTTAAGCCTCGTTTGGAAACATGCTAATTTAGTAACTTTTTGACTGTTTGATTAAAATATAAACTAAAAAAAACTAATATGTTTGGGATGATTTTTTAAATTTTTACGAAAAGATGTGTAAAAAGTAAAAAGAAAAGAGAATTTTTAATTTTTTAATATGAATTACTGACTTTTTAATTTTTTTAATAACTTTTTAACTTTTTAGCTAAAATAACTACTTGCCAAACAAGTCGATAATCTATTTTTGTTAGCTTCTCAGCCCCACTAATCTGCTATTAATGATTTAGAAGTACCACATCAGTATTGAGTTGATAGCCTAAAATTGTGGTTGTTACCGGCTTGTTTCTCAGGGAAAAAAACAAATGATGTGCAAAAACTATTTTGACAGAAAGAAAACCAAGGTATAATACGCCGCATCATAAAACTTTTTATTAAGCTTTTCTTCTCAAACACTGGTGTCTCAAATCTGAGTAGACGAAGAACCTATGAAGAAGCCGTAACTGTAGGTTCTGCCAAGTACTCACTGTATCTGTAGAAGAAGACAACCAAATTATAAAATAAAAAAAAAAAAAAGGGGTTGTCTACCCTGGAGTTCTTGCATGTATGTAACTAATACTAATCGTTATACCCCTCAGAATATTGCCTCTTTTGTGTTGATAATTCAACAGAATAAGCTTCAATGCTGCAAAGAAATTTAAACGTTATCATTGTGATTGTCGAAAAAGACTGCAGTGTTGACGCAATGATATAACTAAATGACGAAATTGTGCAAGAACATTCGCTCTGTGTCTGGGAAACAGGGGAGAAGCAGATCCACAACATAATCAATGGAAGCCTATATTAAATTAAAAGATCTTGGAGAAGACCAAGAATTTCATTTTTTCCAGAACATCTGGTAAATTAATGCACAAACCAATACAAACAACACTATTTTCTCAGTAGTGAAATCAAAGAATAGGAACCCTAGCAAATGTAAGAAACCATGGCCAAAACCCACTTTAGAAACTGTGATTTCAACAAGGTTAACGAAGCACAACCACGTATACATATCAAGAAAATAACGTATATCCCATCAAAACAATCATAAGACCACCACTAGGAGGACCTTCGTGAGCACTAGCAGCAGGGATGGATTGCGTACAATCTGACTTCCACTGATGGAATCGTGTACACTCTGACTTCCACTGATGGAATCGGCCGATTGTGTAGGTGCAGTTGCAGGGCATGCAAGCCCTTGCTTCCCTTCCCGGCACACACTGGCAAAAAGGCCAGGTGGGTATTTCCCGTAGAGGTTGATGTAACTGAACATGGTTGTAGCGCAATCATTAGACAAGTCATTTAGCGCATCCATCATTTAAAAATTTCAAAATATTTAAAATGTTGTGCTTAAATCACATGCCAATTTTTTAGTGAATCTTTAATGAACGATTTATATAAATACAAATTGATATTTTAATGTGTCAAAATGTAACATTTTTTGTTGAAGAAGTAATACTAAGTTATAATTTAAGGCAAATTATACTAACAATCTCTATAGTTTGGGACTCGTGTCACTTTGGTAGCTAACTTTTCAATTGTGACACATTTGATCCTGAATTTTGAATCTTGTTCCAAATAAGGATAATTGAAGATACCATAGTTTAATTTTAAAGGCAAAATCGTCAATTTAATAAAATATAACTAATCTGACAAAAATAATGTCAAAAAAATATTTTTAATTTTTAAAAAATTATTTTTATCCACCAATGATAAAATTATGTAAAATTGATAAAAATTAATAAAAATTACATGATTAATTTTTAAAAATTAATTTTACATGATCATCATCCAAACAAATAATAAAAATTAATTTGGTAAAAAAAAATAAATGTCTAAAAGATTTATCAATTTTACATAATTTTTTTTTAGTGGGTAGAAATAATTTTTAAAAATTCAAAAATATTTATTTGACATTTATTTTTGTCAAATTAGTTTATATTTTATCAAATTGACGATTTTACCCTTGAAAAATTTAATGATATCTTCAATATGGCTTATTCTAATCTTAGGCCTCGTTTGGGAACATGCTAATTTAGTAACTTTTTAACTATTTGGCTAAAATATAAACTTAAAAAAATTAGTATGTTTAGGATAATTTTTTGACTTTTTATGAAAAAATGTGTAAAAAATAAAGAGAAAAGAAAATTTTTAATTTTTTGATATGAATTGTTGACTTTTTTATTTTTTTAATGACTTTTTTATTTTTTAACTAAAACAGTCACTTGCCAAACGAGACCTTAATCTATATCTGTTAGCTTCTCCGCCCCCACTAATCTGCTATTAATGATTTAGAAGTACCACATCAGTATTGAGTAGATAGCCTAAAATTGTGGTTGTTACCGGCTTATTTCTCAGGGAAAAAAACAAATGATGTGCAAAAACTATTTTGACAGAAAGAAAACCAAGGTATAATACGCCGCATCATAAAACTTTTGATTAAGCTTTTCTTCTCAAACACTGGTGTCTCAAATCTGAGTAGAGGAAGAACCTATGAAGAAGCCGTAACTGTAGGTTCTGCCAAGTACTCACTGTATCTGTAGAAGAAGACAACCAAATTATAAAATAAAATAAAAAAAAGGGGTTGTCTACCCTGGAGTTCTTGCATGTATGTAACTAATACTAATCGTTATACCCCTCAGAATATTGCCTCTTTTGTGTTGATAATTCAACAGAATAAGCTTCAATGCTGCAAAGAAATTTAAACGTTATCATTGTGATTGTCGAAAAAGACTGCAGTGTTGACGCAATGATATAACTAAATGACGAAATTGTGCAAGAACATTCGCTCTGTGTCTGGGAAACAGGGGAGAAGCAGATCCACAACATAATCAATGGAAGCCTATATTAAATTAAAAGATCTTGGAGAAGACCAAGAATTTCATTTTTTCTAGAACATCTGGTAAATTAATGCACAAACCAATACAAACAACACTATTTTCTCAGTAGTGAAATCAAAGAATAGGAACCCTAGCAAATGTAAGAAACCATGGCCAAAACCCACTTTGGAAACTGTGATTTCAACAAGGTTAACGAAGCACAACCACGTATACATATCAAGAAAATAACGTATATCCCATCAAAACAATCATAAGACCACCACTAGGAGGACCTTCGTGAGCACTAGCAGCAGGGATGGATTGCGTACAATCTGACTTCCACTGATGGAATCGTGTACACTCTGACTTCCACTGATGGAATCGGCCGATTGTGTAGGTGCAGTTGCACGGCATGCAAGCCCTTGCTTCCCTTCCCGGCACACACTGGCAAAAAGGCCAGGTGGGTATTTCCCGTAGAGGTTGATGTAACTGAACATGGTTGTAGCGCAATCATTAGACAAGTCATTTAGCGCATCCACATAAGGGCAAGCAAATTCTTTAAATGCTGGACAACAGATATTGGGGGCGTACTGCGGTCCTTTGCACTGGCTGGTGATGATGGTGTAGTTCAAAAACTCAAAGTTTACAGGGCAAGCTGCAAATAACATGATGCAAAGATATCATTCAAGAATTATTTTAGGGATCCCGACTTTTAAAATGAGACAACAATTTTCTTTACCATGTGTTAGTAGCCAAAATGAACCTGATTTTAAATGCTGGACAACAGATATTGGGCGCATACTGCGGTCCTTTGCACTGGCTGGTGATGATGGTGTAGTTCAAAAACTCAAAGTTTACAGGGCAAGCTGCAAATAACATGATGCAAAGATATCATTCAAGAATTATTTTAGGGATCCCGACTTTTAAAATGAGACAACAATTTTCTTTACCATGTGTTAGTAGCCAAAATGAACCTGATGGCGAACAGCTATAAAGAAATCTCTTCAACTATTCAATTGATCACAATACCAAAATATACATAGAATTGATCAAAAAAATAACAAGTAGAATAAGTGTAAAAGAAGAAGATCACAAGGGCCACAACCCTAAACTCAAACAGCAACAGACTACACAATATCTCATCAACCCAAAGCTGCATAAATATTGTAAATCAAAGTATTATATTACAGCGGGAAAAAATAATTCGGATCATACCTTAATGACACAACCTCGTGGGTAAATCACGTGCTTCCAAAATCTGATCAGTCAACGAACCCAGCAGTGGAGTCATACTACAAAATGAGTATCACCCATACAAGTCACAGTGCAAAATGGCTTGATCGTTGTTTTCTGGGAGAAAGTCAAAGAGAGAGAGTCTGGGGAAAAAGGTTATGGGTAAAAACCACATAACGTATATCTTATATACGTATCTCTTTAGATTAACCATATAATCTGATATATAACCAATATCTGTCTATCCATCTATCCATATCTATTGATATGATAGATATAGATATTCTGAATGGTTATCCAAACAAGTTTTGAATTCAAATTCAAACTTACATGGATAAGGTTCAAAAGGTTCTAAGGGTCATGCCACATGGGCGCCCAATTTCTAACATCTCCCACTCGGACATGAGTTGGCATGACACTGCCACATCTCTATCTCAATCTCCCCAAAAAAATAAACAATCTCATACTAGCCACTGCACCGTGCGACTGCTGAGAACACCTGCATGTGGGAGCTCTATACTAGAAACTCAAAACGAGCCAGCATAGAGACATCAACCCAAAAAGAACAGAAATAGTGTCTCATATACCCCAAACCCATCTAATTACACCGGTCCAAAAAACATCTCTAATCCCTCAAAAAGAGCATGTTTGACCCTCTCAAGTCTTGCAATATATTCACACTCAATTCGCCTCTCATACAGAGCGATGTGAGTTGCCGGCAGTGAATATACAACAGTGGTGTAATACTAGATGATCTTCCCTTTGCCCTCATGCCATTTAGTTTAGGATTGACTGCTTTCCTAGTGATGTCCCTTAAGGCCGAATCATACATGCCCGCAGGCAACATACCAAAGTAGCAGAACATCAACCCCTTGCCTTATGACATAGTCAAAAGTCACAAAAAGGTACATAAATGAAAGTCATATCAATAATGACACGTAAGACTCACACGGTGAGGAAACAGGGATCCATTCTCTCACCTCATTACTCGGTCGCCAAGCACATATAGTATGAATACATGCTACGGTGGAGTAACTCTTCCATAAAGAGTGACGTCATACTCGATACACCGTACAGATATTAGTCTAGTCGCTTTCAAGCGCCTAACCCGAATTCTCTATTTGCTCGCCTTCTAAGCGCCAAATGAGATCTCGCATCTGGCTAATCATAACAGGCACAACATGGAAAGTGGGTACTAACATCCATGTTTGGTCCTTAACACGACCTCATCTTGGTTGTAACTAAGGCGACATGCATAGTGAATTATTTAAGCCTCTCTTGGCTCCAAATAAAAATAAACCACTAGTCTCATCCTTGCTCGCTCCCAAGCGCCAAGAGTGATTGCTCGTGTGAGTGAGCCAATCTTGCCTGCTGACATCATCATCTACTAATCATTATGACACAAACCATAATAGTGTCAACATCCCATCATCTCATAACAAATAAGTGATCGATTTAAAAAAAAAAAAACACAACCACAGTCTGCGCAATTCTAGATTCCAAGCATAACCCTTGTCAACACCTTTTGCGATAAGCATATACAACAGAATCCACCATTTGCGTCTCATATGAAGTGGTTCAAGATCACTACTTCTTGCGCAATTACCTCTCTAAAGATATTTTGGTGACCAATTTGCGTTCATTCTGGATGCGCCCAACTAGCGCATTGAATCTTACAAGAAGCAAATTAATATACTACTAGTAAAGCATTTTATCCACAGTCTAATGAGCAAGGTCAATGTCTAAACAACTCAGTTGACCATTTACCAAAGATAACACTTATCATGCCGAATACGCCCACATAGCGTACTTTAGGCTCCCACAACAAAGAAAAAATAAAGGAATATAGGTCATCTGTTTCTCCCAAAGACAATCCGAGGATTCACTCAATAGCTAAGGCTCTGGCTTTTACCGATAGGTAAGTCAATGGATTTGCAATTTTACATCTAGAATCATTCTAGGATATTCTCTACGTAAGTCATCGAAGACAAACCGAGAATTTTTCTAAAACAGTCCCTAAGGATCGTACATCCGAGCATATAAATTACATCATCCATGTCCATCATATCTACAATAGAGGACTGCCTACCCCAGGTGGCGACAACCTTATAAATTCCTGGCTCATAATGACTAAGTAAGGGAAAACTTCTTTTTGGACTATTGATCATGCCTCAATGATCTTCATCGATCATCGTTGGCCTATCATGGCTTGACGAAATCTAAGAACCACTATTTTGATAACTGTTTTAGGCTATAAAGATTTATTGAAACTAGCAACCTTTTTGCGCTCCTAACTTTTCACCATAAAAGCAGAAAGTAAATCCCTACAGATCTACTTATCTAATTCTCTAACGAGAAAGTTGGGTCACAATGTCCACAAATCAATGTTCCGAACTTATGTCAATCATAGCCTAAGTCAAAATAACCTCACTCCCCAGGAGGAAGTCTTCTCATGGTCTACACTTTCCTCAATGGTGAGACTTTTCGGTATCTAGCGAGCCTTATGCCTCAACAATGACTATCCAAATTACGCATAACTTTAGAACAGTTTCGCGTCATAATAGAAAGTCAACCAAATTATAGAAATAGTTAATCCTCAAAGACTTTGTCTTAAACTGCGCAACATTAATCCACTTTCTAAAAAACAGGAGACTAGAGCCTTTGGCATTATCCTAGGCTCTTTATCATCTTGCGGAGTAATCATGAATGTTTCCCTTTCAATCATCCAGTGATGACGTGAAAAATTTTCACATTCGCTACCACGCAACTAAGAATGTAGAGTATTTTTCTCTAATGGAGTAATCCATTAGTAGGCACATCGCCCCCACTGTCCCTAGGATATTGGAAATTTCTTTCCATTCTCAACTAGGCTACATAAAGCGCTGTGCTTAGAATTCTCTATCTTATAGAGTTCCAAAACTCTATTCACGTCACCTTTACTAAAAAAACTTTATGTGACTTAGTTACACTACCACAAAACTGCTTACTTATATGCACATGACCCGGAGGGTTTGCATAACCTCATACAATAATGTGCCACACGACCCTTTGTGTTTACAAGACAGCATACAATAATGCGCTATAGAACCCTAGGTCTTAACTTCGCAATCTTATGAGAAGTAGAATAAAGATAAGCTGCTTAACGGTTACAGATCGCCCATAGATGGCTCTCTGCTAACCCATTACTCAAAATGGAGTGTAAAATCTGACATGGAGGGCACTTAGTTAGGGATATAGGCAACAAACTAGTGCACTTCCCAATTGGAAAACATTTTGCGCCATTATTCACCTAACATTAATAATACTTAATTCCTTATCTCTACTACACCATTGTGTTATTGAGTATTAGGAATAATCAATTTTCTAAGCATTCATCTCTCTTCATAGAGCTTTCTAAAAATAACTCAAATAGATACTCGCTACCTTGGTCAAAACTAAAAAGCACAAAAGCTCTTATCTAATTGATCTCGACCTCATATGTGCAATGTCAAAAATCATATCAAAACTTTTGACTTATGGGAGATCAAATAGTCTTGACTCAGATACGTATCGTAATCTATAAATGTGTCGAGATTGAAGCTTAGCTATCATACCCTTACACATATCTAGTCACAAATATCATAGTGGACTAAATGCGCCAAAACAAATGACCTTCTACGGCTTTCCTACTTACTTGTGCGCACCCATTGCGAACAAAGTTACACATTCACATGAGAGCAGGATGTCATAAGCGAGTGGGCCCGCGAAGGCCTACTCAAACCATCGTGTCATCATCTCATTAATGTGATTAAGTATAATAAGCCACTGGTTCATGACCAATGTCATAAACTAATTCCAATCATCTTAATGTGTGAGTTCTCGAAGACAAGTTTTAAAGGTTTAGGCCCAACTAGGTAATGACTCACAACTAATTCATATTCACTAGATCATAAAAGGATATCATGGAGATATCAAGTGCGCCTAAGTCGCAAATTTAACTAGTAAGTGCTAATCCCCTGCACCTTCAAGTCAATTTTATTCTCCATATACTTTACTGCATCTAGTTGAAAGATGACGATACTCGTCTTGCCATATCTATTTCTTGCTTCATAGTTACTTGCAATTAATTCTACTATCCACAAGAAAGAGAGAATAAGCTATCAACTATGACAGTTCCTGAAGTAACTTAAGCGCGAATTAGGCTAAAGAGTCTAATTCAACACAATGCTCTCACGAGTCATGCGTCTATTCTTAGAGTCATAACAACCTTGTCGGCCTTGACCTTTTCATTATTATGCTGCAATGTTTGCGCTTAGTGGTAAACGTTATTAAAAAACGTTAGCCTAGCTAAGGAATCATACAAAGAAGCCCCTCCTCATGTCTCACACTCAAGTGTGGAAACAGTAAGTGTCCAGACTTAGACAAGTTGGCAATGCTAATAGATTTTGCAGCCACTAAGCGCTAATCTTATCACATAGTTTTAATAGATTTTGCAGCTTCTAAGCGCTAATCTTTTCACTTAGTGTTAATAGATTTTGCAGCTTCTAAGCGCTAATCTTTTAACTTCACGTGATATTTCAACGCACACTATTATAGTGCATGAAATTTTTCTCCATCCACTCCAAATAATTGGGTAGAGAGCAAAACACTGCTCATACTGGCTACTCGTCTTACACTTAATGACTAATTTATTTAAGTTCGCATTTCTTGGATGACGGGACTCTTGAATGTTACTTCATCTAATGATGTAACATTATTTACAAGTCAAATTACAAAGTCAATCCGCGCAGCTCAATAGTCAAACAGATCTATTCAGGGCTTACTAATTTCATAACTCCAAAACTCGCCAACCAAAACTACGTAGTATGCCGCTAACCATAGCGCACACATTAGTTTTTATTATGCCAAACAAGGCAACAAAACCACGGCGACTTTGAGTCATGTTTCCTTACTTTGACTCAATTAAGACTTGACCTAAAGTCTCCAAGACTTTTGCTCATCTAAAGAATGGGATTACATTGTTCACATTTGAACATCTTTACTAAGTTTAGGTCAACCAATTAACTTCCATAAGCTAAGTCAATTTAGAGAGAAATTCGCATTGGGATTAATTTGATTAGCATAATATAATTTTGCCGCAAAAATCTAAATTAAATAGTGACAATATTACACAAGTCGCAAGATCAAAAATCTGCTATGCTCATAATCATCTCTTGCGCCACAGGTGACAATTATCCAAAATTCAATTTAATTTATGCGCAAAATATTGGTTTTCGGGAGTAAATCTACAAAGATTTCTTTTAACCGAACAACCTCCCACTAACTATGGCATGTTTAAAAGCATGATTAAAAATTCTAATTCCATACAATAGCATCATAATGTAGATTCACAATCAATACAGGCTATGTTACATTTAATAACGGAATTAAAATAAAAAATAATTAATCATGCTATTCTAATCACAACATATTACAAACCCTAAAAAAAATAATATGCTGTATTTAATATTCAAATTATGCCATAACAGAAACTGTATCACTTCTGAAATTTTCTGAAATTTTTCTGAAATTTTTTGGAATTCTAAATAACTAATAAACACACATTAAATTAGAAATAAAAAATTCCAGAATCTGATAAAATGAAAAAAATTATTCCAGTAAATAGAAAAATATTTCAGAAGTCTACAATAAAAAATCAAACCCCAGAAAATAATTTATGCAATACTAGAAGCATTTTGAAACATAAATAATGAATTATAATCACAGGAAAAATACTTTTTATTTTCATAAAATTTTCAAAATTTTACAAAAGATAGAAAATATAATTATGAGTCTAACAGTACTAACCACGCTTAAAACAAAACTATAACGAATTAATTATGACCATTTAATGTAATTCTGAATTTAAAAACAAAACAAACAGACCCTTTCATCAGCAGCCAAGCCGGCGGAGGAAAAACGGCGCGGCTCAGCATGCGGCTCGGCTTGCGGCTCGGCGCGCATGTGTGGCGCGGAGGGCGCGCCCGTGGAGACGCGTGGGAGCGCGTGAGAGCGCGCGGTGGCGCGTGAGAGCACGTGACAGCACGTGGAAGCCTCCCACGGCGTCAGGTGGCGCATGAGGCCCACGCTCTGCCTTTCAGGGTGTTTTCTGGTTTGATTTTTGTACTGTCGAACTCCATTTTTCACAATAAAAACATTTACGGCATTAAAAATAACATTTAATGAACATAAAAATGAAATGTATCACATTCTCAATCAATGAGAGTTGAAGTGCAAAAAAAATCGTGCACTTCATCTTCCTCCTCCATTAATTTTCATGCATATAATGTGTATATATTTATATAAAAAAAATACACATATTTTAATGCATAAAAAAAAGCACGAAAAAACCCATATCAAAGTATTATATTACAGCGGGAAAAAATAATTCGGATAATACCTTAAGGACACAACCTCATGGGTAAATCACGTGCTTCCAAAATCTAATCAGTTAACGAACCTAGCAGTGGAGTGATACTACAAAATGAGTATCACCCACACAAGTCACAGTGCAAAATGGCTTGATCGTTATTTTCTGGAAGAGAGTCAGAGAGAGAGTCGAGGAAAAAAGGTTATGGGTAAAAACCACATAACGTATATCTTATACACGTATCTCTTTAGATTAACCATATAATCTGATATATAACCAATATCTATCTATTCATCTATCCATATCTATTGATATGATAGATATAGATATCCTGAATGGTTATCCAAATAAGTTTTGAATTCAAATTCAAACTTACATGGAAAAGATTCAAAAGGTTCAGGTTCAAAAGGTTCTAAGAGTTATGCCACATGGGCGCCCAATTTCTAACAAATATATTACAAGTAGGCTGGGTTATTTATACGCATTCAAGAAACCCTAACTAAAAGAACTTCGCAAAAATAAAATAAATCTCAAAATATAAAATATTATCAAAATTAATTATTTAATCCTATTTCTTCAATCAATTCCTTTCCGTTTCCCATCAAAACCTAGTTCTAGTAACTTCAAAAACTCAAGCAAGAGATCTAGGTGTCATATAATTAACATTTGGTTGTATTAACATGTAAGCATGTACCCAAGGAATTAGCATTTGCATGAGACCGTTCAGACTCCTACGGTACAAACCTAACACAATATTTAGGACATGTCAAACAATCTTGAGAATGTTTTACACCAGACAAATAAATAAACAAGTAAAATTTGAGCCCTTTTGCTCATCTCTCCATTTTCGATACCAGAAGACAGCACTATACCAGTATGCTACAAATGGCTGTCAAAATGCTTGGAAACAACTTATAGTTGACATGTAAAAGAACAGAGAGGTAGAAAACTGCTTAAACATTGGAGTGATGGAAGAGATCTTGCTCCTCGAGTTTTTTTATTTTTGCAACTCAATTCCATATTACTTCATTCCCTGAACTACAATAGTGAGTGATATGCCCATGATTTTGACACTTTGATCCTTAAATACTAATGTAAACCTTCAAAACAAGCAGTTCTTTTTCCTTATGATAATCCCACAAGCAGATGGTATATATATTGAAGGCCACATGATGTCGGATTGAAAATTCACCCAATTTTGCAAATAAAAAATGTAATTAGCAACTCCCATATAAGCTGTCACGTGAATTTCAGTGTAAGATAAGCTAGAGGACATCTTAACATGTCTTGCAGGAAAAAGAATAAAAATAAAAAATCATTTGTATATTACTTGTAAAAACCTTAATCCCCAAGATTGCATACTTACTACATTCCGCAAAATTAAAAATTATGCACAACAGAATTTTAAAAACATATAGTAATGTTGTATGGTAAACCCCACACATACCTACTACATTCATTTGAATTGATCTCTCTCTAATAAGCTAAGCTCAATATATATACACGTCACTGATGTCTCCCTTTGTAACTGGAAAGCTAACTAGCAACTAGGGCTGTTCGTCCAAACCGACCCAACCTGACCCGAAAATGAAATTAATGGTCGGATTTGAAAGCAGCAGCTATCAATAGCGATTGTAACGACAAGATATTTTTGGATTGGCGGACGGGTCTTGGTTCTGAATACACCCCAACCAATTAACCTGACCCAACCGAGAAATATTGCTTTTCATGTGTATACCAAACCGACTGCAAAACCATCAATTTGGCTCAGTCATATTTGAACAGTAGGACGGTTGAGTATTGAATGAATGATTCCCTAATACGAAGTGTTCTATTTGGTTGACAGGCCAAGGGTGAACCCAACCCAAACTGACAAGTGAACACCCCTACTTGCAACAACTTGAAACAAGTTCAGCTAACTAACAATTGCTAACATGTACAAAGTCCTAAGTAACTCTATATTGATTCCCTAACTAACTCAATACTTGATGCTTCAACTCCACTCTAACAAGAAGTGTCATTCTTAATGAAGAACTACTTGTTGTTTTTGTTTATTTCTTGTTTCTCCTTCAGTTTTCCTTGGAGGAGTAACTGGAATGGAATCCCCACCAAGAGGTTGGACAGTACAAAGCCAACCGGAAACAAACAGTCAAGGTACCAAAACGCAAAAGCGTACTCATTAAAAAATAAAAAATAAAAAATAAAAAGAAAAAAGAAGCAGAAGAAGAAATATATCAGAAACCATTGGCCATCAGAGAGAAGTATTGAATAAAATGACATAAACAGATCCATGTATGCTGTAGCTCCCCAAATAGGGGATTTTTGTGGTTGGATGCCTCAGAAAATGAAAATGCTCAAGACAATATTGATAATTTCTTTGGAAGAGGCCCATCCTAGTTAAATTTTAATCTGGTATAACAATAACCAAATCGAATCGAACCAAACCAAACTAAACATTGTGTCCCAATCAAGTGCGGTGGGCTAATCAAGGCTATATACTCAAATTAAATAAATTCATCTTTCTTTTTTTTTACTACTGAATCTGATCTAACCATATGTTAATGTTCAATCATCATATATTTTGCGGAAATTGTAAGCATATAAATCCAGCAGATACATGCGTTATAAGCCCCCAAAACAAAACAAAAATTCAAATGAAAAATACCCATTAAAGCAATGGATTAAAAAGGGTATAATTGAAAAGAAAAAAATGCACCTTTCTTGGCTTGAAGAAGATTCCGACCCATTAAAGATCTACCCCCAAACATATCATCTGCATTACACAAACCCACATGTAAAAATTACTATTATTACAATAGATATATATATATAGAGAGAGAGAGAGAGAGACAGAGAGAAAGATAAGTATTGGGTTTTGCATACCTGAAATGAAAGAGGAAGCAGATGCAGAGACAGAGAGGCTGGTCAAAAGGAAGAAGACAAGTAAAAAGAGAGTCGAAGACGAAGACAACAAACACTGATTTTTCTGCTCCATTTCCGAGATCCAAGAGAGAGAAATCGCCGGATCTGTGGCACCTTGATCTCAGGAAACGATTCAGCTCAGAGATTATAGAGATGCACTAATATGTAATACATCAATAGAGAGAGAGAGAGAGAGAGAGAGAGAGAGGGGGAAGGAAGGAAGAAAGGAAGGAATAGAGTACAGCCACTATACGCAAAAACAGAGAGATTTTTGGGTTCCTAAAACCGCGTCAAAGAAAAGAGGTGAGCTGATATTTGACTTAGGTCTCTCGACAATCACAATTAGGGAGGTATGCAAAATTGAAAAAATCGATTAAATTGATTGAGTCGAACCGATTACATTTAGTCAGTTTTTTAATATGAATCGGTCTGTTCGATTTTAGAAATTAATTTTTTTTAGTTTTTGGTTTGATGTCGATTTTGATATACTATACACCGATTTGCACCGAAACCGATCGAATATATTTACATATAATATATATTAAATATATAATGAATATTTTGACTCTATTTGATAGACTTGTGGTTTAGACTTATAGGATGATTGTTTTAAGTTTTGGTTTTGTTTTGATGTCAAAATTTTAGTTCTGAGATTATATTTTGTTTCTAATTCTAATTCAGTAAAAGCTTCAAACTTTAGTATTTATTAATTTTTTTATTTGTATTTTTGTAAATGGTTAGATTAGATATGGTTAAAATTGTATACAAATGGCTAATTTAATATTTTTATATAAATTATTTATTATACTACAAATTTAAGAAATGATTTAATTTTGAAAGTACTTAAACCGATTAAACCGCATTGAACCGAACCGTTTGAATCAGTGCAGTTTGGTGCGGTTTGATAAAAAATTTGGTTTGTATTGATTTTCCATATAATAAAACCGACATTATCGGTTCGGTGTAAATTTTTACCTAAACACCGACCGTCCCGAACCGATTACATCCCTAATCACAATCTCTATCCACGGAGACCACTTTTAACTCTATGTGTCAAAGTTATCATCAAATTTAAATTTGATAAATTTTTTTTTTAATTTTAACAATTTTATTAAATTATTATCAAATCGAGAATATTAAAAATATTTCACCGAATAGAGAATTTTTGAAAACCTTCACCATTTCATTGTTTGGTATCGTTAGTTTGGCAACAAATGACGACTAGTCGAACGTCTGGCCGGTTGTCTTCCCGGTCATCTAATTAGTAGAAAATTTCCACAGCAATTCATGCCCTCGGACGACTGGGAGGATGTCCACCCAGACATTCTCTGTCTCTACAGGCATGTAAAATTGTGTGAATTGTGTGCCAACAGTTTTAAATTTGTGACCAACAATTGAGGGAAGTACAAAAATCCTATCTAAAATTAGCCGTTGCTTTTGTAGGGTGTCTGCTCTATAAGGTTTCTGTTGGTTTTGCAAATGGTTGATCAAAGTTACCACTACTGTGATGTCTATAAAATATGAGCTGATTTCTGTTTTACTTTCACAATATCATTACAGTTTTCTGTTTTCTTTGTTATAATTTCCTTCAATATGTATTTGTTCTTTCATTTTTCAATTGTTCATTTTATGAGATGGTTCTTGTTAATTTAAATTTTCAGGTTTTCTTTAATTTGTCAGTTGTTTCTTTTACAATTTATTTCACTATCAACTTTAATTTTTGATCATATTGATTTTTTTTTTTAATTGGTTTAGTTATACAACTTTTACCTTCAAACTATGGAAGATTTTGAAATGTTTTACGAATCACAAACTTTTTATCAGAGCAATGATGTAAGTATTATTTCTGAAGCTTCTTGTATTCCTCGTAGCAAAGCGTTCACCAATATAGAAGATAGAACTTTATGTAGATCTTGGTTAGTCATCTCTCAAGATCCCATTGCAGGTAATAGTCAAACCTTGATAATATTTTGAGAACAGATACTCGTTTATTTTAATTCACAATTGAATGGTTAATCAAATCGAAACCTTATTTCTTTGTCTCACCGTTGATCTGTGATGCAAAAGGCAATTAATAAGTTCTGTGGTTTTCTTGAATAAATTCAATTGAGGCAACAAAATTGAACAATTGAGGCAGACAAGGTAATTTTTATTGGTAGTTATGGCATATATATTTTTTGATTTGTATCTACTAGTTATAATTACTATGTATTTCATTTTTCAGGTTACTGAAGCTAAGCACATATATAATGCAATCCAAAAAAAACACTTCACATTTGATACAAGTTGGAAAATTTTGCTCCAAAGTTATAAGTGGGATGAAATTAGAACACAAAACAAGAAACCCACACCACCAGCAAATCCATATTCGACTCCAACAACTGAAGATGAGGCGTTGGAACCCAAAAATGTTGACTCTTGCATCATACAAAAATGTTGTTTCCTTACTCCTTGAGAAGAAGAGATTGTCTACACTAGTGTTGCCCATGGAGGGTATATACCATCAGCAAAGTAATAACCCATATTGTAAGTGTATCCATTAACTGTAAAATTAGTAGGTGGAGCTTCCCTTTAAGCAAGATCAGAAAATAAGGGCGAACGATCCAAGGCATTCAAGTCATTGTGTGATCCAGGCATTCCAAAAAATGCATGTCAAATCCACAAGTCATAAGAAGCTACTGCTTCAGGAATTATTGTTGGTTTTTTTCTGATAGCTTGCATATTGACCTTACCATGCCATCGGACAATTTTTCCGCTCCCAATGCATGCAATCTAAACTTTCCAACATACCCGAAAATCCATGAACCTCCCCAATAGTAAGTAATCTAGCAATATCAGTTGGTGATGGAGATCTAAGATATTCAGGTCCAAAGATTTCGATAATTGAATTGCAAAAGTATTTCAAACTTTCAATTGTGTTGCTTTCTCTAATTCGCACATAATCATCAACCGCTTTTGCTACCACTTCATATTTGAGTATTCTAATTGCTGAAGTCATCTTTTAAGGTGGAGACAATCCGAGAATATGAGCTGCATCTTTTTTTTTTTTTTTAACAACATATTTGTCGTGTGCTTCAATAGCATGCAAAATTCGCAGATACAGATCACGACGCATTCTAAAATGTCTCCGAAATGTTGAAGATGAATACACTGGATTTATAGCAAAATAATCCACAACCAATCGATCATGACCCTTTATTCTTTCGCGACATATGTATTTATGTCCAACAACAGAGCCACCTTTTTTCTTTGGCTGATCATTTCCTGTCAACATCTGTATCATACTAGCATTATTTATCTCATAAAGACCCACAAGTGAAACAATTTTTGCATTATCACTTTCATCATCGAAGGATGAAGAAGAAGAAAAAGAGGATGAAAAATCAATGAACAAATAAGAAGTCATTACACTTTGTTTTTCAGTTATGGGTTGGTTCCAAATACATCGTTGTTTGCTGGGTGTATTTACAAATTTTAATATGTTTATATTTATTTTTTTTGTTGGAAATAATTAATAGAGGCAAAAAGGAATGAAAAATAATTAATGGAGAGAAAGACCAAAAGCAAAGGAATTGAGGAAACAAAAATGGAAAGAAAAATAATTTTCGGTAGTGGTGGATTGCCCTTGCTTGTTGACCAACCAGACATTCGGTTGGTCATTCCCCCGATCGACCTGTTTGTTGATGACAGCAAAAAATGTTCAATTAGAGTACCAAATATCAGATGGAGTTTTTACTCAAATTTAATAAAATAAATGATTCACCATTAGAGATGCTCTTACAGATAAGTGCACTTCTCTACCTAAATAAGTACACTTAAGGTCACATTATTATTATTATTTTTTATATATTTTTTTACAAAAATATTAAAAAATATATTTATTTAAATTATTTTAAACAACTCCAAATAAACTATTACTTCACTTTTATTTTTTGTTTTTGTTTTTTTTTTAACTTTTTAAAAATTATTACATAAAAAAATTTAAAATTTTGATAATTAAAATTTATAAATTTTACCATTATTCTAAAGAAAAAAAAAAATCCAACTCCTACTCTGATTTGTTATTTCTCTCTCTCTTTTTTTTAATATATTTTGTAACTTTTAATTATGTTATTTTATATTAATTATTTTTATTTGTTTTTTTGTTATAAATATATTACATAAATAGATAAAAAAAATAATAATATATGCATTTTTGACATTTTAAATAATTACATATCAATGATAAATTTTATAAATATTAATAATTAAAATTTTTAATTTTTTCATGTATCAAAAAAAAAAATTAAAACCTCATTGATTTGTAATTCACCCTAAAATAATTTTACTCCTCTCTATCTTTTCTTTTATGTCTTTCCTTTTCTAGTTTCTCCTACCCACTCAACATATATGGTTGCTTAGCATATGAGTGTCATGACTCATGTCATGGGTAATTTTTTCACTTCGTTTCTCTTCTTCTTTTTAATCTTATTTCTCCTACTTACGTCAATAATTGTGTGCCTATACTATCTGGGTATGTTTGATTGGAAGGATTAGAGTATGGGATTGAGATTATTAATCCGTGGGTCCAATTATCCCACGTTTGTTTTGACAATTTGTTTTAGGATTATTAATCCAATGGATAATTAATCCAACAAATTTGTAGGATTATTAATAATGGGGTAGGGGTGGGATTGTGAATACCACACTAATTTGATAGGATTATTTATACTTCACTATTAGTCATGTGGAATCAAACAAGGCCTTAGGAAAATGCCTCTGACCCCAGTGGGGGTGCTGGGGGGTCGTGCGTATAGGGTATTGATTAGGCGAAAAAAAAAATTGTTTTTTTTTTTTTTTTTTCAGCCAATGAGGCCGCGCCACGTCACTGGGGGTCTGTAGCATTGTTCATACTATTATTGCCATGGTTACTGTTATGAAGAAAAAAAAAAAGGAAAAACAAAATAAAATCATTTAAAAATTTCATAATATTTAAGATGTTGTGTTTAAATCACATGCCAATTTTTTAGTGAATTTTTAACGAACGATTTATATAAATACAAATTGATATTTTAATGTCACAAAATGTAACATTTTTTTATCAAATTTTTTTGTCGAAGAAGTATAATTAGTCCTTTGTTTTTCACTACCACTAAAAATTTGCTACTACATTTGTATCATTAAATCTAGTTTAGGTACAAATTTTCAGTGTTTAAATATAACTTTCTTAATATACCTTCAGTTACTAAATTATGTTTAAAAAATGCTTGTCTTTTGACATTTTCACTTGATTTAATAATTAAGAATATTTGTTGTTTTTCTATCAGTATGGTGTCTCTAGTAGTGTTGACCATGCATCCTCGTTCTTTATAGAGAAGAGGCCACATTCACAGGGGAATATTATGATTACATATTTATGAAAAATAATTTGTACACAAAATTATTGCATATAAAAAAACTTATTTAAAATGAGATAATTGTGCTTTATGTCTTCCATATAAAAATATATATATATAATTGTGATGTTTTTACAATTATGAACTGAACTAGTTACGCTTATAGAGATCTAGAATAACTCCACCAACTCATCGGATAATGTGACTTTAATCACACGATGCGAAAAATATATAACATTTGATTGGTTGATTTTCAATTTTGGTTATTAATAAGGGCATACAAAAAATAAAATAAAAACAGACCACCCATGTTTCTCAACCAAGGGCTCTTTATTTGATTTTTTTAGTTAAAAACTTGCCAAATGACAAAAAATTAACTTAATTAACCATCACAAAAAACCAAAAAAGGCACATATGACAGACAAACAATATGGCTTATTTTAATCTATTTTTGCTAGCTTCTCCGCCCAACTAATCTGCTATTAATGATTTCGGAGCGCCACATCAGTATTGAGTTGATAGCCTACAATTGTAGTTGTTACCAGCTTATTTCTCAGGGGGGTTAAAAAAAAAATGATGTGCAAAACTTATTTTGACAGAGAAAGGAAACCAAGGTATAATATGCCGCATCATAAAACTTTTCATTAAGCTTTTCTTCTCTAACACTGCTGTCTCAAATCTGAGTAGACGAAGAACATATGAAGAAGCTGTAACTGTAAGTTCTGCCAAGTACTCCCTGTATCTGTAGAAGAAGACAACGAAATTATAAAATAAAATAAGAAGGGGGTTGTCTTCCCTGCAGTTCTTGCATGTATGTAACTAATACTAATCGTTTTATCCCCCAGAATGTCGCCTCTTTGTGTCGAGAAATCAACAGAATAATCCTCGTTGCTGCAAGAAGAAATTTCAACGTCATTAGTGTGATTGTCGAAAAAGACTGCAGTGTTGATGCAATGATATAACTAAATGATGAAGTCATGCAAGAACATTCGCTTTCTGTCTGGGAATCAGGGGAGAAGCAGATCCATAACATAATCAATGGAAGCCTAGATTAAATTAAAAGATCTTGGGGAAGACCAAGAATTCCATTTTTTCCAGAACATCTGATCAATTAATGTGCAAACCAATACAAACAACACTATTTTCTCAGTAGTGAAATCAAAGAATAGGAACCCTAGCAAATGTAAGAAACCAAGGCCAAAACCCAGTTTGGAAACCGTGATTTCAGCAAGGTTAACAAAGCACAACAATGTATACATATCCAGAAAATAACGTATAAGCCATCAAAACAATCATAACACCACCACTAGGAGGACCGTTGCGAGCACTAGCAGCAGGGATGGATTGCGTACAATCTGACTTCCACTGCTGGAATTGGCCGATTGTGTAGGTGCAGTTGCAGGGCATGCAAGCCCTAGTTTCCCTTCCCGGCAAAAACTGGCAAAAAGGCCAGGTGGGTATTTCCCGTAGAGGTTGATGTAACTGAACATGGTTGTGGCGCAATCATTAGACAAGTCATCTATCTCCACCACATAAGGGCAAGCAAATTCTTTAAAAGCTGGACAACAGATATTGGGCTTGTACTGCGGTCCTTTGCACTGGCTGGTGATGATGGTGTAGTTCAAAAACTCGAAGTTTACAGGGCAAGCTGCAAATAACATGATGCAAAGATATCATTCAAGAATTATTTTAGGGATCCCGACTTTCAAAATGAGACAATTTTCTTTACTATATGTTAGTAGCCAAAATGAACATCATGGCGAACAGCTATTAAGAAATCTGTTCAGCTATTCAATTGATCACAAAACCAAAATATACATAGAATTGATCAAAAAAAATAAGAAGTAGAATAGTATAAAAGAAGAAGATCACAAGGGCCACAACCCTAAACTCAAACAGCCACAGCCTACTCAATATCTCATCAACCCAAAGCTGCATAAACATATTACAAGTAGGCTGGGCTATTTATAAGCATTCAAGAAACCCTAACTAAAAGAACTTCTCAAAAATAAAATAAATCTCAAAATATAAAATATTATCAAAATTAATTATTTAATCCTATTTCTTCAATCAATTCCTTTCTGTTTCCCATCAAAACCTAGTTCTAGTAACTTTAAAAACTCAAGCAAGAGATATAGGTGTCATATAATTAACACGTGGTTGTATTAACATGCAAGCATGTACCCAAGGAATTATCATTTGCATGAGAATGTTCAGACTCCTATGGTACAAACCTCACACAATATATAGGACATGTCAAACAATCTTGAGCTTGTCTCACACCAGAAAAATAAATAAACAAGTAAAATTTGAATCCTTTTGCTCATCTCTCCATTTTCGATACCAGAAGACAACACTATACTGGTATGCTATAAATGGCTTTGTCAAAATGTTTGGAAACAAGTTTTAGTTGATATGTAAAAGTTTTGAAGGAACACCGAGTTAGAAAACTGCTTAAACATTCGAGTGACGGAAGATCTTGCTCCTCAAGTTTTTTTATTTATTTTTGCAACTCAATTCCATATTACTTCATTCCCTGAACTACAATAGTGAGTAATATGCACGTGATTTTGACACTTTGATCCCTAAATACTAATGTAAACCTTCAAAACAAGTAATGATCATCCCACAAGTAATGAACATGTGAATTTCAGTATTAAGATAAGATAGAGGACATCTTAACATGTCTTGCCGGAAAAAGAAAAAAAAAAACATTCATTTGTATTTTACTTGCAAAAACCTTAATCCCCAAGATTGCATACCTACTACATTCCACAAAATTAAAAATTATGCACAACAGAATTTTAAAAACATATGGTCATGTTGTATGGTAAACCCCACACACACCTACTACATTCATTTGAATTGATCTCTCTCAAATAAGCTAAGCTCAATATATATACACATCACTGAATCCCTTTGTAACTGGAAAGCTAACTAGCAACTAGTGCTCTTCGTCCAAACTGACCCAACCTGAGCCGAAAATGAAATGAATGGTCGGATTTGAAAGCAGCAGCGGTCAATAGCGATTGTAAGGACAAGATATTTTTGGATTGGCGGACGGGTCTCGGTTCTGAATACACCCCAACCAATTAACTTGACCCAACCGAGAAATATTGCTTTTCATATGTGTATACCAAACTGACTACAAAACCAACAATTTGGCTCAGCCACGTTTGAACAGTAGGACGGTCAAGTATTGAATGAATGATTCCCTAATACAAAGTGTTTTGTTTGGTTGACAGGCCAAGGGTGAACCCAACCCATACTGACAAGTGAACACCCCTACTTGCAACAACTTGGAACTAGGTCAGCTAACTAACAATTGCTAACACGTACAAAATCCGAAGTAACTCTATATTGATTCCCAAACTAACTCAATACTTGATGCCTTGACTCCACTCTAACAAGAAGTGTCATTCTTAATGAAGAACTACTTGTTTTTTTCTTGTTTCTCCTTCAGTTTTCCTTGGAGGAGTAACTGGAATGGAATCCCCACCAAGAGGTTGGACAGTACAAAAGCCAACTGGAAACAAACAGTCAAGTTACCAAAACCCAAAAGCATCCTCAGTAAAAAAAAAAAAGCAGAAGAAGAAATATATCAGAAACCATTGGCCATCAGAGAAGTATTGAATAAATTGACTTAAACAAATCCATATAGGCTGTAGCTCGCCAAATATGGGATTTTTGTGGTTGGATGCCTCAAAAAATGAAAATGCTCAAGACAATGTTGATAATTTCTTTGGAAGAGGGCCATCCTAGTTAAATTTTAATCTGATATAACAATAACCGAATCAAACCCAACTAATCATTGTGTCCCAATCAAGTGCGGTCGACTAATCAAGGCTATATAGTCAAAATAAAGAAATTCATCTTTCTTTTTTTTTGTTTTTTTTTTTACTATTGAATCTGATCTAACCATATGTCAATGTTCAATCACCATATATTTTGCTGAAATTTTAAGCATATAAATCCAGCAGATACATGCATTATAAACCCCCAAAACAAAACAAAACAAAACAAAAATTCAAATGAAAAATACCGATTAAAGGAATGGATTAAAAAGTGTATTATTGAAAAGAAAAAAAGCACCTTTCTTGGCTTGAAGAAGATTCCGACCCATTAAAGATCTACCCCCAAAAATATCATCTGCATTACACAAACCCGCATGTAAAAATTACTATTATTACAATAGATGCACATATATAAAAAGATAAGTATTGGGTTTTGCATACCTGAAATGAAAGAGGAAGCAGATGCAGAGACAGAGAGGCTGGTCAAAAGGAACAAGAAGAGAAGAAAAAAAAGAGTCGAAGACGAAGACAACAAACACTGATTTTTCTGCTCCATTTTCCGAGAAACAAGAGAGAGAAATCGCCGTATCTGTGGCAACTTGATCTCAGGAAACGATTCAGCTCAGAGATTGTATCTCTTATCTATACATCAATAGAGAGAGAGAGAGAGAGAGAGAGAGAATGGAGTACAGCCAATATACGCAAAAACAGAGAGACTGTTAGGTCTTAAAACCGCGTCAAAAGAGAAGAGTTGAGCGGAGCTGATATTTGACTCTCTCCACAATCACAATCTCTCCCCACCTCCACTTACACACATGACACCTCCACTAATTACACATATCACTTGTATTATATTATATTTTTTATTTTTTTATATAAAATTCAGAAATATATTTATTTAGTTGATTTTAAGTGTAAATTATACTTATAGCTCATAAGATTTAGCTTACACACATAACACCTCCACTAATTACACATATCACTTATATTATATTATTTTTTTATATAAAATTAAGAAATATATTTATTTAGTTGATTTTAAGTGTAAATTATACTAATGGCTCATAAGATTTAGATTTAATGCATATTACTTTTGATATTTGAGAAATTATATTAATCCTCTATCATTATAATTATTTAGACAGAAATCAAAATATTAAACTCACTTTTTTTATTTTGCTTTACTTCTTTTGTTTTTTTTTTCTCTCCTTTTATTTGCTTTACTTTTTTTTTAATATAATTTTTTTATTTTTTTTACTAAAAATTGTTGCCTTTTTATATAAGTAAGGGATTTGTAAAATGAGACTATTAACCACAAGAGTGAAAACATAATTTCCAAAGTGTCAAGAAATAAAATGTAATTAGATCAAACTTCAGAAGTGTCAATGTAATTTACACTCCTTTTAAACAACTCCAAATCAACTATTACTTCACTTTTTAATTATTTGTTTATTTATTTTACTTTTTAAAATTATTACATAGAAAATTTTAAAATTTTAATAATTAAAATTTATAAATTTTACCATTATTTTGAAATGTTTTTTCAACCCCTACATTGATTTATTATTTCCCTTATATAATTCAACTATTTATACTTTTTACATCATATTTTAATATAATCTAACACAATGTTATTTTATATTAATTATTTTTATTTATTTTTTGTTATAAATATATTACATAAATAGATATAAAATAAATAAATATATGTATTGTTGACATTTCAAATAATTACATATCAATGATAAATTTTATAAATATTAATAATTAAAATTTTAAATTTTTTCATATATCAAAAAAATAAATAAATTAAAACCTCATTGATTTATAATTCACCATAAAATAATTTTACTCCTCTCTTCTTTTTCTTTTATGTTTTTCCTACCCACTCAACAAGGTTCATTTGGAATGTAGGTTGGCTTTTTAACTTTTTGGTTTTAACTTGAGGTTAAAAAGCCTCAGTTGGGATGGGGTTTTTGAGTTTTGTGCGAGAAAAAATAAAATAATTATGATTTGAATGTAACATTTTATCTTATTAGACTCAAAAGCTTATTTTGTCTTTTTATGACTAAGATAGTCTCAACCTCACCCAAATCCACATGCCAAACGAGCACTATGGTTGCTTAGCTTACGATTGTCATGCTCTTGTCATGGGTAATATTTTCACTTAAGAAAAATGATGCAGACCACTAATTAGTGGTTGCACTAGGGATGTGGCAGTGGGTCCCACACACTGCCACATGTGTTTTGCGTGTTAGTTTTTGTTTTTTTACTTGCCACATAATTAGTGGTGGTGTTTGTGATAGAAATTTTGTGGTCTGTTAGCATTGTTGTTTCACTTAATTTCTCTTCTTCTTTTTATTCTTACAAATCTGTTGGGTAACTTGAAATTCGCTGCCCCGAATGGCTCGAAGTGTCAAAACGATGTCATTTTGACACCTTTTCTCTCTATTTTTCCTTTCCCCTATCTTTTCTCTCTCAAACTGGTTTGAGAACCAGGCGACGGCAATAGAAAGAAAAGATGAGGAAGAGGAAGAGGAAAAGAGGACGCTAGAGATGGCTTCGCTGGCTGAATGGGAAGCTGTCAACCCATCACACAGAGAGAGAAAAAGAAACCCAAAATCCACCAAAAACAATCAAGCAAATCTCAAACCCTTCTCTTTTCTCTTCTTCCTCTGTTCTATTCTGAATCAAAATCAAAATCAATCAAAATCAAAACCAAAACCCAAACCCAAACCCAAAATCAAACCCACAGCCAAATCAAAATCAAAATCCAAAATCAAACCCACAGCCACAGCCACAAATCAAAATCAAAACCCAAATCAGAAAGAGAGGAGAAAGAGGAACAGAGGAGGAAGAGGAAGATAGGATGCTGGAGATGGCTTTGCTAGCCGAATGGGAAGCCGTCAACCCATCACATAGAGAGAGAAAGAGAAACCCAAAATCCACCAAAGAACAATCAAGCAAATCTCAAACCCTTCTTCTTCCTCTTCTTCCTCTGTTCTTTTCTGAATCAAAATCAAAACCCAAAGTCAAACCCACAACCACAACCCAAATCAGTTCAAAATCAAACCCAGATTTGTTCCTCACAGCCATAGGTTGTGCTTCCTCACAGCCATAGAGAGAGGGAAGCTTTTGGAGAAGGAGAGAGATAGAGAGGAGAGAGAAGGAGAAAGAGAAAGAGAGAGAAACATTCGAGCTATTCGAGCCCCATGAATGTCGAGTTACCAGGCATCTTTCTTGTTCTTATTTCTCTTAAGGAAAATGAGTGAGAGCACTAATTGTGTGGGTGAAAATCTGACCACACTGCTTACTTAGTAACCAGCTGGAGAGCACAGGCAGAATAGATGGCTTCAGTAACCTGTAACAGAAAGAAAAGGCTCCGGCAGTGGTTCTTCCACCCGGGGGCACTCCGACGATCAAGTCAGTATATCTCTCAAAGATAATCAAGTGCAAAACTTAATACTTAAAACATAAATCGCATACCTTAAACCCATGGGGGTGCCTCTCTTTTATAATATATTCAATCCAAGTCTTACTAGAAGTATGACTTCTATGAACTCCAATTCAGTGCTTACTTTGGACTCCTTAAGAGATAAAGATAAACTCCCTAAGAGCTTTATCTTTATCCTGGTTAAGTCCCCTCTTCGTCTTAGGACTCTTGTCCCTTATTCCCTTATCTCGGATTCCGATATCTTCGGAGATAACCTCGGCAACTCCGAGATCATCTCGGCCTAACTTCCACGACACGAGGCACCTCGGCTGACACGTCGGCGTCACCATGCCACGTGTTGGTATTCAGAAAATATATCCCCACAATAATTTTTTTAATCTTTAATTTTTTTTATTGAACTTCTAATGGATATGTGATGGAACCTATATTGATATTTCGACATTTCTTTTCTGAGTAATGGCTCAAAAACTGTTTAGCCGAGATAATCCACTTCCAGCCGATGTGTTCTCTTCGGAGAACAAGGTTTTCGAACGTACTCTCCCACGCGCATGAGCTGTCATGCACTTCTTAACCGTTTCCTTCAAATGCTTTATTTTTATTGGCCCGTTCCTGCGACGCGCCTTAAGGCTGTCTTTTCATCCGTCTGCGCCCTCCAGGCGTAATAAATGCCCTATTTTTGCCGCCGTTTCAAGTTTTTGACAAAACTTTTCTTTGCCTCTTTCTTTCTTCACTTTTTCATTCTGATTTCTTGCTCTTTCTCTCTCCGAAATCTTTTTTTTCTTCGAATCTACCATTGCTTCAATCTCTCTTCTGAAACTGTCTTTAATCTTCCATTCTTGCGAAGCTTTCTTTGCTGTCACAACCGATATCTGATCTCGGCGAATATTGCCCCGGCTTCATTTGTTCTGGTAAGATTCTGTTTCTTTCACTCTTAGTTCTCTTTATGTGCTTTCGTCTGCCTGTTGTCATTATTGCTTTTGTTCAAAGCCTTGGATTTGTTTGTATCTTGAATCGTGGCTACATCTGGAACACTTGCACTATTTCACCACTTTTCTTGATTTTTTCACTTCTGTATTTCCTTCGTTTCTGAGAACCATACCTCTGTTCTTTGATTCTGAAGCGTCATCGTTTTCTTGTTGTTGTTTTTTTTTTATCTGTTCCAGATTTGTGCCTTCGATCTTGATCTTTATAGTTTTTAGGCTTGGGATTTGTGTGTAGAACCTTTAACTTTTAGGGAAAACTGAAACAAGCCTTATCAGTCCTTTCCTAGGCCTTTGTCGAGGTTTTTGCAATCCTTCTAAAACGCCCATCTTCTGAAACACATTCCTCTTTGTTTAGGCCGACGTAATGGGTATGTGGAGGCATAGGGTAAATACCCCAACAAAACTCGAATACTTTAGGCAGGAATTCTCTATCCCAGCCGATGTTCACCTTAAGCTAGCTGGGGATGATGATACCATCATGCCCACAGACCATACGATGCCCTTTCCTATAGTAGCCTTTACGGAATGTGGACTTCGGCTTCCACTTGATCCCCTGTTTCGCGAAGTTCTTCATTTCTACAAGCTGAACCCCATGCAACTTACTATCAACTCCTACAAAGTGATTAACGGTATTATAGCTTTAGCTAGGCAGGAGAATCTTAGAA